TCAATCATTGTTTGAAGTATTTCTCGTTTTTCAGATAATGTTGTTAAACAAGAAACAATACCTTGAACAAATGTACCTGTTGATTTATCTTTATTTTGTATAATAAGATTAAATAAATTTGATATAAGATTTGATTGTGAAAGTATAGAAAATGAACTAGATGTATGATCAATTAATGTCCATAATGTTTGAATAAAACGTAAACTAAGTATTGAAATTGGTTCTTCACGTAATATATGTTTATCACATATAATTGGTAAAAATGTTTGATATAATTCTTGTTTTATATCATTTTGTATATGTATTGGTAAAACACAATCAATTAATTTTAATTCATTTAATAATTCATTAAGTATACATAAAGAAAATAATGAAAATTCATCAACATTTGATGATACAAGTAATTGTGAACAAAGTGGAAGAAGATCACTAAGAAGTATTTCACTAAATAATGATAAAAGATCACGTGCACGAACAAATGCATCTAATGTTTGAGAAACATAAGATATTATTTCAGTTAATGATGATGGACCTAGAAAACAAAAACAAACAAACCAATGAATTTTATAAGGAAAATAGAGATGAGTTTGAAGATTTCTTGAAATACAAATAAAAAACATTCAAACAGAAATTACTATAAAGATTATTAAATACATGTTCGGAAATTTCTGTTCTAGTTGAATAATAACTTTTTAACAATGTTTATCTAGTGTAGTTAATATTACTCGTAAAAGTAAATTTTCGAAATTTGATCTGAAAGGAAGAATATGCTTCTGTCTATCGATACTTCATGGCAGATTCAATAGCCGGATATATCTCGTACAATTGAGTATAAATACTAAACACAAATATGTATTTTTGTGTAGTATTGTATTTCAACAAATACTGATGCTATTAGTGTACGAACTACATTGAGTTCATGATATCAGTAGTGAATAACATGAAATTGCACATTTTCAAAAGATTTTCCCCCCCCTAAATTCGCTATTTGTGAATATAATTTAAATATAAAAATTTATTTCTTTCATTAAAGTTATTTATATATTGATTTTACCTTTTGTTAATTCATTATTTAATTCAGCAATGAGTTTAATATTGGAAAAAAGTTTAAATAATTTTTTAATTGACATTAATGTAACAACACGAGAACGAATACACTAAAAAAAAAGAACAATAAATTATATATATATATTTTTTTTTTATATTAATTTACATGATTTCCAATAATAGTTGATATTAATCGAAATGATGGTAACCATTTTTTAAATGTATCTTTAGCTGATGATGTTTTTCGTGTTTGTTCAGTAGATGATAAAAGTTCATCTAGAATTTTTTATTTCAAATTCAAATTATTCGTTTTTCTTTTTTGAAAATATTCAATATACCTAATATTCGATTAAGATGACTTGAAAACAATGTTGTTAAACGATTAAGTGCTTCATGTAATAAATCATTTTCATCTGGATCTATTGATGTACGACGAACATCACGTTCAATTGCTTGAAATAATCTAATGAAATTAAATTTATAAAAAAAAAACAAAATATAAATAATTAGTTTATCAATATACTTTGTATCACTTAATGTATAAAGACTTTCATTATATGTTGATAATAGAACATAAGTTAAAGTATATGCTTTAGCACGTATAAGAACATTTGTATTTTCATAAAGAACATTCATTTTTGGTAATATATCCTATAATAAATAAATATTAGAAAGAAAATAAACTGTTTTTGTTGATTAATTATAGATTGAAGATAAATATCTCTTTAGATATCAAAAACATATTATTTATTTTTATTTTTTCTATTAATTTTTTGAATTTTTCATGAAATACAATCAAAAACTGAATGTTGAAGTATAGGAACAGAAATTTACACTAATTTCAAAAATGTAACAAATATCATACTAGAGAATTCAATGTATCATTAGACATTTCTTCTCGAGTTATGTTGATTTAACTGAAATTTTCATCTATTTCAGGATATTATAAATTTGAGCTTAATACTTTTGCATAATATCATAAGTATAATGAGAGTTATTATTAGAGAAAATTTTAGATCGAAGTTTTTTCCTGTGATGCTTTTCATATCCTGCAGTAGACAAAAAGCTTAGTAAAATAATCATAACCTGACAATAAATGCCTTATGTCACGAACATTCTGAAGATTTTTATCTACATTATGAGTCACATCTATAAGCAAAATATAAGTTCAAACGAAGATTATCAGTTGGATAAATTGTATCATTAGCAACAAATCATAATAGATTGTGATAGACACCTTAGTAACATCTACCATCTAAGTCATCGAGTAATGATAGACGTTGTCAATATCCTATCTAAGATTGTATATAAATAACATTTTGTTATCATATATGAACTATTTTCTTATTATATTTTTAGAAGCTTAAGTAGAAGGATATCCGAAAATAGATAGAAAAAAAATAATCTTCGTATGATGAAGTATGTCAACTACATCGTTTTTTTACATATTAACCGCTTAGAAATCAGTCTAACAGCTTTTATCAATTAATAGCTATCTATTCAACATGTTTTACTTGTATAAACATTGTACGATTCTTTGTTCGTTTAGCTAGAATAGCTAAAAGTGTTATATTATATTGAAGAACTTTTGATGATGTTGATTGAAATATATCTCCTTTAATAGTCACTTTATCAAAAACTGATTGAACAACATCAAGATATGATAAACCCATATGACATAATGCCTAAATATAATAAAAGAAAAAGTCATAAATTAATAAAATATATAGAGAAAAAAAATATTTTCTATTTTACAGCTAAAGCCGAAGCACGTATATGTTCATTATTACCAACTGTACTAACAATATTCCAAAGTGCAAGAGCAATATCTGATGTAGCTAATTTATCTGCTTGTTTATCAGCAACAAGTAAGAGATTTTCAATTATTTTACATGCAGCATGATTGAGTGCAGTATCATCCTGCAAAAAAAGGCTAAACATTTTTTTGTTTTTTATCGAATAATTCAACTTACACCATCTTTAAGACATCGACCAATTAATTGATATGTAAAACCAGGTACAAGAGAATTATCTGATGTCTGGAAAAAAAAATAAAATTTAATTAATATTCTATGATAAATATATGAAAAAAAAATAACATACTCGTCCAGCAATAAATATCATAATTTCACCGATAGCTTGTACCAAATATAATTTAAACTTAGTCTCTTTACTATTTGCACGAAGTGCTTCAGTAAGTGATACAAGTATCTAAGAAAAAAAAAAAAAAGAGAATTTAACCATCTTGTCATCTTGATTAGATTAGCAGAATGTATATATATATATAAGTTATTTTATGAGAGAACATGTCTAACTATCAGATCATATTTCACTTGAGAATATAGACGTTCAATCGGGCATGATGACAAGTAAAAAAACAAAGTTCATTTTTTTCCCATTTTCATCTGTTGAGTTATGAGCATTTTTTACTCATTTTTTTTAAAGCATCTAGATGATAGAAATTATGTCCTTTGATGTAGATCTTCTTTATCATTAAAAAAAAAGAAAATCTTCAAAGTTTGACTTAGAACAACACATATAACTTTGCATGAAAATGTCATCCTTTTAAACAACAGTTCAAAGTAGATAGATGTTTTTTGTTCTTGAAATATAAAGTTCATGACAAGAATTCATTTGTTATGATTAAAACTTTTTTTTTTTTTTATGAATTTTATTTAAGGACATAATTTCAGTTTAAAAATCAATCATTCAAGGTCACTATTGTTCTATGCTTATAGAACAAATAAAAAAAAAAAAGAAACTTGAATACAATGTACATAATGCAACAAGCGAAGACCGGAAAAACCAAACACAAACAAACTTCTTTTTTTTTTACTACTCATCATGATTGATTGAATGGTAATAATCTCAAGCAAACAAGAATTTTACAGTTGGAAACATTTTCTCGTCAGATTGGAAGCATAAATGAAATATGATTCTATTGGTATATTTTTCTTTTTCTGTTCTTCGGTCTATGTTAATTTTTACAAAAGCATAGACTTGTTTTTCTTCTTAATTTTTTTTGCTCTCTATGACACATATTCTTTTTCTACTATTCTACTTCATGTGACAAATCAAGCATTCTGACATGAGACGTTGATTAAAGAAAAAAAAAAACTGATGATATATAGATAGACAGGGACGCATTTCTAATAATAACAACTTCGCTAATATAATTTTCTATATATTGTATTATAGATACGTACATCGGTAAGTGAAGATGAAACAGGAAAATTATCAGTTGCTTTATTGAATATAATTCCAAGTAGACGTGTTGCTTTCATTTTTCTAAATTATATAAAATAAAATAAAATCATGATTATTATTATTATTATTTAGAAAGATCATGTCTCATCTAATACGACGTCATTCAATGGAACATTTAGAACTTTATGATCTTGATAAATTCAATATAATTCCATCAAAAAATTATCAATTAACATCACAATTATCATCATCTTCATATAAATATCAACATCGATATTCATTAATAGATTCAACACATGAACGTTATCAATTTCTTTGCAATATAAAACGTAGTAAAATAGATCCTATCTATGCAGCTACACCGATGTTTACAACAATACCACAATCATTAAATGAAGAATATTATCAACAATTAAATGATTCATCATCTATACATTTAGATAATGTTAAACCATTATCTCGTCTATCATCAAAATCAAATGTATCAAAAACTATTAAAATAATTGAAGAAGAAAAAGATGAAAATAATGACAATAATCAATCAAAACATCATGATTGTACAGAAATTATTGAGAAAATATTCAATAGACATTAGAAACCAAAACCAAAAAAACAAAGAACCTTGAATTAGATTTTTTATTATTGTTGTTGTTCTATGCGTAGATTTAATTTAGGTGAATTTCTTTTTTTTTTTTTTTTTTTCTTTGAGCTAAATTTTCAATTAGAAAAAAAAGAAAACCTAATGCTTACAATTCCATTGTAGTACCATTTGTAATTATATTCAAAAGATCTTTATGAATTTCTTTTGCAATAAGTGCATCAGCAAATGGACCAGAATTCGCTTGTTCAAGACATGTATATCCAATATAATTCAATAGATGTGGTTTAAGACGCATACCATTTGCATTTGTTGGTGATCCAGCTGTCGTATTTGACAATTCTTTTTTTATCATACTTGCATGTTCTTGAAGATCAACAGATGACAATCGACTCAAATTTTCATCTTAATATAAATAAAAAAATATTTATTTATATAGAAATATGATCTATTATATGTATCATATTACAGTAAAAATGACTAATGATATTGAAATTAATATCAATGACTAATGTATATTAGATAACCTTGATTTTCATAAAGATATGTGTGTGTGGTTTTGTTTTTTTTAATGAAGTTAATAAAATTAATTGAAAAGAATTTGTAAATCCTTGAAAGTTAAATCTTTTTCTCAAGGAATATTATGACAGTTAATTTATTTCGTTAAGAAATTATTTTCTTTAATATACAATTTTATTATATTATTAGAATCAACTATTCTAATATCTTCTAGGAAAGAAAAGTATAATCAAACTGATAGAATAAAAATCAGATTATTATTAATCTTTTGAAAATATCGTTTCTCTATTGAATATGTACGAGTTTCAATCATTCAGCTTCTTTTATACGAGTAACACATTCAGTCTAATATGTTTCTAAATATGACATTTAATCGAACTGATCATGATCTTTGATTATTTTATTTAAACGTGAGTAGCCTATAGATCTTTTTCTTAAGACTATTAGAGTAATATAAAATCATATATTCGAAGTCAATTTTTCACAATAAGAGATCATTTGAACAAAATTAATTGTTTTGATTCAGTTCAGATAAATTATTGACACATACTTAATTCTCTTTAGTTCTAAAGAAATTCAAGTATTTACTTTTGAATATTTTCCATATATCAGATATACAAGTTATGATTAAAAAGCCTATTTCTTTTTTTTTTTGTTAATATAGGTCATACCTCGAAAAGGAAAAAACCTATAGGTAGGAATGCTTTTTAGAATTTTGTTATAGTTCTACTATAACCTTCATTTGATAAGAAAATAGAAGTTAAAGCTCGGAAACAGTTGAAAAAGCCTTGAGAGAGAGACATAACGGAAATTTTAATGTTATTAACCTTTAAGATATTTTAAAAGTACGACACATGAATCAAGGTCTTTGAAATTTTTACAAATAGACTATCTTTATAATAATTAACAATGAAATTGCTTTATTTTATCATATATGAATTTCTTTTTTTTTTTTTCAATCTGCCGATAAAAGGCCTGAGGGTGTTAGAACTTTTAAAAAAAAATGTCATAGTTAATAATGGAATGAATTCTTTTTTTTTTAATAGTGAATTGTGCCATTAATAATTTTCAATCTATTAGTTGATTTTATTTATATATAGATTTAGATTTTTTTTTTTGTTTATAAGAATTCTAAAAGTTATTCAAAACATTTATAAAATCTACTGAATATTTTTGTTTTTTTTTCATGTATCTTAAATAGAAAATAATTAATATATTCTTACATTTTCCTAATTGAAATGGTAATAATTTATTTTCAAATTTAAATGGTAATGTTTTTTGAATAGTTTTATTTTCTATAATAGCTGTTGGTTGTAATTCAGTTTTTGTAAAAAGCATTTTTCGAAGACGTTCAATTGTTTCACCACCAAATACTGTTGATTGTTCATGTGTATTTATAGATGAATAATCATTTCGATGTGTTTTATTACCATCAATTTCATCTGGTTTATTTTGTTGAGCTATTTGAATAGATGTTCTTGTACAACTAAAAATTTTTATTTTATTAATTAATATTATTAAAATAATTAAATATAAAAACAAAAAACATACCTTAAACTAAATGATACATTTGATTCTGGTCGATCTGTTGTAGCTAATCGAGATGATAATGGTGGACGATCTAAAATATTTGTTTTGTTTTGTTTTTTTTTTGTGATAAAATTTTTTTTTTAATATACCGTGTGTTTCA